GAGAGAAATTGTTGTAATATGTAGAGAAAGAAATTTAAAAAAGAGATCAATTACTAGTGCCCCGTGGGGTGGATCTGGTGGATGAAGTCGTTTGCGGCAGCGCCTTCGCGAAGTCCGGGGCTGGGACTCCTGCAAATTGTGATGATCTGGATGAGCCTCACTGAGATTTGCATGGGAGAAGTTGGTTTCTTAGCAGATGTCTTCAGTGGAGCTCTTGGATATCCGGCTGGTTGGACTGGTGGGGAAGGGGTGTGCGTGTCTGTGGGGGTGTGCATGCCTCTGTGCGTGCGTGCATGTCTGGGTGTAAATCCTCTTTTTTTTTTTAAATGAAAAAAGGAGGGGAAAAAAAAAAAAAAGAAAGAAAGAACCAGCTGAAAGTTTCTAGAAAGTTAGTTCGAATGCGTCCCGACCGTCACTGCGAGGAAGCGGGGCTTTGAGAAGAAGACAGAATGGCAAGAAGGAGCAAATCGAGAAAATAATAATTTAAAAAAAAAAAAAAACTTCACACTTTTTTCCTTTTTTTTTTTTTTTTTGATTTTTCAATTTTAGTAGCTTCGACCCAGGGAGTGAAATCCGGGCAGGTTGTTATAGCTACCCAAATCCACAGGGGTCCCCCCTGTCTATTTAAACCCCCTAAATCTTCCTTCCCCTTTTTAAAACTACATTTTATCCCTTGGCTTGTGGGCCAAGGTGCCCCCTAATGAGTATTAAAACACTATCTCCTTGCAATTAGCTCATTCCTGACTTCGCGCTCCTGATTGACAGAACAAGCCAAAGCATCAGAATTCTCCCTTTGGCAATAAGTGCTGTCTTCAACAGTTTTTTTTTTTTTTTTTTTTTTTTTTTAATATTTGCCTTCAGTGTCTTGGCTGAGAGAAGAGTTTTTTACCTCTCTGAGATTTTTTTTTTCCTTGAGAGTAGTAGAGGAAGCAAGAGAGGATTTACCTGGTCGGGCTGAGTTCACTTCATTTGACTTTTTTTTTTTAAATTATTGTTATTATTATTATTATTATTAAAATAATCATCCTGCCTCAGAAGAAAGGAAGGTTTTTAGCAACTCTGGTTTAAAAAAAAAAAAAAAAAGAAATTTTTGAAAGACAACTTTTCATCAATGGCCTCTTTTGGATATTTCCTGTTTCTTTGTGGGTTGAGTCAGGCTCTGTCAAGTTACCCAATCTGGTGGTAAGTTTTATTCTTCTTCTTTTTTTTTTTTTTTTCTCTCATTTTCATTTATTTTTCCCCTCCTCTGTTTTCTCTGCAACTCCTGCGCTTAAGATGACTTGAAATTCTCCTTTCGTTGCCACTCAGCTAAAGAGGTGGGATTGTTCCAGCGCCAGCAAGTTCTTAGAACCTGCATTTCACCTCTTTTATTTATGCATTCACTTTGTTTATTTTGACTGGGTTATACCTGATCTCTCCTTCTCCTACTGTAAAAGAGAGAGAGCGAGCGAGAGCGATCGGAAAGTTACTGGAAAGTTACTTTTTTTTTTTTTTTTAAGTGCTTTGATCCTCTCCTGTGAAGAACAAAAGGCGCTGCCTGAATTAAAGAGATAATGATACAAGTTGACATGAGCATTTCAAGGTGATTTCGAGCTAGTCAGGTGGAAGGAAGGGGGGGAAAGGATGAAAACATGTTGGTTTTTTTTTTCCCCTTCGCTTTAAGGAATATTTAGGGGGAAAGGAAAAAAAAAAGAGGGGGGGGGGGATAAAAGGAAAAAGGAGAAAGGAGGGGGGAGG